TCTCTGACAAACCTTAAGAAATACTAAGCTGATATTACCTAGATATTAAAATGCAAATTGAAAGTTATGGAAATTTCACTACAAAAGCAATAATCACGATTACAGCGGCATATAGCTAGTAAAGGCTTAACAACAGCTTTTTTTATACAATAGCTAATATTATGTGTTATATATAATACTTTGTAAATCAAAATCGCCGTAAATCGCTTCTTAAATAGGAGACGATTTTCGTGCAAGCATCTGGCGATTCAGTAAGTAATTTCTATAGTGAATATATTATTAAAAACTATTCAAGGATTTTGAGCTAAATTTCAAGTCGCAAATACCTAACTATATTCTATATGTATATATAGGGTGCAATGCTTTAAAAATATTATTTAATTTTTTGAGCTTTTTTTGTTTAAATAAATTCAAATTAAATAACTGCAGGTTATTACACGATGCTAGCAATTTTTTTTAATATTTCTATTTCAATTTCATTAACTCATGGTAACATTAGTCGCAGATATATTACTTGTAATAATTTTTTATTTATTTTGCGATTTGATTTAAAATGTTTTAAGGCAGGGGGGACTTGAAAGCTCGAAGTAATAAAAATAATAATGTTACATTTTTGCATACAAATATTTATACATAACTATCTACAGCAACAAAAAAAATATACATGCATAAAAATTGTAATTAAATCCAACGAGCTTTGTTCCATTTTATGAAATGACACTGGTGAAGTGACGTTAGTAAAATAATATATAGCAATGCATATGCATTTGTGTATGAACTTAAACTATTTGCAATTAAGAGCGCTTGAAATACACTTTATAGCACACATATATATAATAATGAAATGATAAAATCGAGACAAGTGCATGTAGCAAATAGATAACATGGCAATTGCAATTAACTAGGGCCTGAAAAAAACAAAAACAAAAAGAAAGCGGGTAGTATGTGCAAAATTTACAAAAATGTATATACAAACACAGCGACTATATGCAATTAATAGAAAAATGCACAGTTAATTTAAATATTTTTTGTTGAAGTGAAAGCAGTAAAAAAGTTGCTTTTTGGGTTGCGTGTTAAATCGAATTATAAATATGTATTTATAATTATTGCATTTTTTTGCAACAATATGTAACTTAATGTTATAGCAATAACCACAAAAATACAAAGTATGGAATATATATTTATACATATATTTAGTTGGTGGTACATACAGTTAAAGTGCATTTCAAAAACTTTTCCATTCAAATGGAAATTTTATGCGTACGTTTACTAAAGTGTATTTTTTCGTAATTAATTTCAATACCTTGTAGCGTAAAATGCAAAAAATTCATTTGTGATTGCGCCAAAAAATATGCAATTTGTGCCAATGTAACGAGTAATTTCTTTTTTTTTCGCATATTTAAAACAAAAGAAAAGTTAATAAAAAAAACAACAGAAATTGTAAGAAAAAAAAATTATGGTAAAAAAAAAATATTACATAATTATAAGTTAATTATTAAATCAAAAGTCAACTATAAAAAATTATACATATTGGTATTAAAATGATTGCCACAAGTGCTGCGCTATTTAACGCAAGTGTGTTGCAACATCAATTTTTTTCTTAATAATATTTTCAAATCATAAACAGTTAATTGTTAAAGTTAATAGACAGTTATTTGCAGATTTATTATGATGAAAAGTGCGAGTTGAATGCTGTTATATAACTTTTTATTTATATGCTGCAACGCGCCAATAAATTGCATTGACAATGCAATAGCCAAAAAATAATACAAATGTATCAAAATGTCTGCACAAATTCCAATTCACTTTGCTGTAAAAATAAGTATTTTGCTACAATAAAAATTTGTGTGCATAAGTTTTTTTCAACTTGCGTAAAAACTGATAAATATTTTGAAAAAAAAGTTTGACAAAATAAATTATTTGAAAATTAATTTTTAAAAATTCGTCGAAAATTAAAATTTGCTTAATAAATTTAATTAAATATGTATACATATATATATTTTTAATTGAATAGTTAAAAATAAAAAAAAATTAAGATTAAATTTTTTTTAAATACGATAAAAAAACATAAAAAAGTTTTAAAAAAATATTTGGTTCAAGTATTTGAGTGGCACAAAGCATTCAGTGACGGTCGTGAAGTCATCGAAAATTTGCTTCATGCGAGTTCTCCATCCAACTCTGTTAATGTCGTTAACATAGAAAAAGTTAAAGAAACAGTGTTTGAAACTCATGGAGTTGTCATCAGAAAGATAGGAGAGGTTCTAATCATCTCTTATGAAACAGCGTTTCAATGTTAAACTCATACCAAAACCCCTGAATCATTTGCAAAACGATGTCAAATAGAAGTCGTAAAAGAGCTGCAACGTAGCTGAGGACCCTACATTCAGCAAACGCAACATTACTGGTATGAGACGTGCGATTTTTTATAAATATGACGTTGGAGCTATACAACAAACCTGCGAATGGCGCTCCAAAAAGGAGCCGAAACCCAAAAAACCAAAAGCCGTTGAAGGCACTGAAGACCACGTATGGAAAATTGGGTTAGATTATTTTCTCAAAGGAAGGCGATAAAAAAACTTATATTAAAATATTTGAAATATTGTTTTTTTTTGGTCAGTCCGGGTCAAAGCTTATCAGCTGATAACAGTAACTTGACGTCATTTACATTGCCTTTAAAACTTTTGAGTGCGCGTCTTTCAGATCCTTCATCTAATATTAGAGTTTATTTATGTACTTTGAAAATGTATTTTTGTTTTTCTGAATTTTTTTATGATCGACAGTGTTCCTTCATACCATATAATTTTTTATAATTACCATTAATTTTTCAGAGTGACATTAGTTCACTAAATAACTCTTTGAAAGTCCACTTAAACTTACTCAACTAACACCCTACTCCTTGCGGTTCTATCCTGAATTGTCACTTTGAAAATCCGGTTATGATAATGTCGATGACAACCCCTAATTTCTGGTCATTAAACTAAGTTTGCTTTGGCACTACAGCAACAGCAACACAAGTTGATGATTATCAATATAACGCTCAGAACTCTAAACTAAGAAAAAAGTTGAAAGTCGAAACTACAATATATGTATGCAGATATGTCTAGAACATTTATTAGCTAATACCTAAATTGTTCGCTATTGTTAACATTTCTCTCTCACAATACGCTAGTCTGACGTATTGAAGCTTGAATTTGCTCTCTTTGGTCATAAAGTTAGGTTAAACCAGTTATCCTAGGGACAAATAAGAGTTGTTCGATCATAGTTGGGCAATACTCTCTTCTTTACTCCAATTAGAAATATTTTGAAAGAGCGAAAACGGTATCACTGTGGTGGTGTGTAATATCTCTCACTTTTCGTAGATCTATATATATGTATGCGCTAGATGTAGAACATCATGCTGTTTCCTGAACTTTTTGTACTATTTTTACAGTTGCAATTGAAAGATATTTATATTTAAACGTTAATATTTTGGAATACAATTTTACTATTAGTTTCAATGTTTGTTCTTTAAAATATGAACGAACCCTTAGCTACTGCACATACAACTTATATAAATTCCTGATTAATTCTGGAATTTTTTTTCGAATATCCTTGCCGTGATCTCAAATAAAAAAAATTTAAAAATTTTAAATATTTGAAAAAAATATTGAAACATTTAGGCAAAAAATATGAATAAAATTAAAATTCATTATTTGCAGTTGAAAAAAGATCAGTTTAACAAACCAGCACATAAAAAAAAATGTAAAAACTACAAATAAATTATATATTTAATATTATTATTTTTATGGTTATGTGGTTATATTAAATATGAATTGGGTTATATATAGATATAGATATGTATATATGTGATTATTATTCATGTTTATGACGTTGACATCAAAAATTCGGTTGTCAGCGCGCCATCCAAACACTGAAATGCCTATAAAAAGATAATTAACAAGGGAAAAATTTGTTCAAAACTTTTTTTTTTTCCAAAAATGTATTGCCGCATTTGGTAACGTCGAGACAAAATTCAAAAATGTCAACAGTTCATTAGTAAATTAAGATGCAGTAAATGAGAAAGTGAGCTAAAAAATTGTGTTTGATTTGATTTGTGTGTTTTGTATGATAATGTTATATAAAAAATTTATAATTAATTAAAAAAATATATAAAATCATTAATTTAAATCAATTTAAATGCGGAAATATTGTGTATAACACAAATAATTAGAAATTGGCTATTCAGTAGATCCAAACTAAAATTGCGATATTCATTGGACAATATTTTTGCTGCGATATTTTTTTTTTTTGGTTCAAACATATAAGAAATTTTAGTTGTTTCTTTACAAATTAGGTGTTTTGAAAATTATTTTTTTTGTGACTTTTTATTTTAAATTGAAATATTTAAAAAAAAAAAATGGAGCGAAAATATTTTTCTAGTGATAAATTTATTTTTTCGAAAATCAAAATTTTTTTATATTTTTTTTCAATAAACAGATAAGAACATTTTTTGTGTGCTAAATTATAAAAAATTTATGTTTAAGTATTCATAAAAAAATATTTTGCTTTAAAAATTTGTGAGCTTTTTGTTTTGTTAGAAATAAAAATTTACTAAAATATTTCATAAAACTAAATTTCTATGATAAAAAGAAGAATCTAATTTCTTTTTCACGCTAATGTAAGAAAAATCATTAAAAAATAAATAATTAAATGAAAAAATATATATCTTTAAAAATATTTAATATTTATTTAAAATACCTCAGTAGAAGTAAAAAGTTTTTATATAAAATAATATTTATATATGCATGTGTTATAAATATTGAAAATAATATTTTCCATTAATGTTTAAAAAAAAAATATTTGTAACACAAAATTTCTGCATTAAAAATTTTCTCGAATTGTGTTTGAAACTCATAAAAAATGTTAGACTGCACTACAAATTATAATTTTTTTTCTTGAAAATTAAAATATAAAATAAAAAAAAACACTTAAACGAGCAACGCTCGCTTAACTATACATACCATCTTCGTGTGTGCGCACAATGATCGGATGCGAGCGCGGCCCATCGCCCACTGAGGTGCCGGCCAGCGTCCAGATCTTGTACTCGGTCCAACGCTTCAACTCATCCAAAACGATGTGTGTCTTATTCAAGGTTGTTATCGTCGCTTCGCTATCGGCACGGCCCACCTCGACGAAGAAGACCTTGTAGTAGATGATGCGACCGTTGGCACGCTCCACGGGCGGTGGTAGCCATGAGACGGATATTGTGGTGGGGCTGGTGGCCATTGCGGTGATATTGCGCGGCGGTGCACCTGGTACTAAGTGGAGGAAATCGGAACGGAATGGAATGGAACGTACAAGTTTGGTTTTCGGTTTTTTTTAATGCAGTTGTATTGTGGTGACATTTGTTTGCAATTTTTAAAATTTTTTTGAATATGTTTTTATATAATTTTTTTTTTTTAATTTTTTTAATTTTTTTAAATTATTAATTTTTTAATTTTTTAAAAATATTTTTTAATAATTTTTTAAATATTTTTTTATTATTATTTTTAAGTATATTTTAATTTTTTGGTGTAATACAATGGCATACATTTTTTTTTTAAATTAATATGTTATTTGTTTGTGGGTGCGTGGCGTTGGTTGTGAGTTGAATGGTTGGTTGTTGTCGGTTTTTGTTGTGATAGCAGCCAAAATGTACATGTATTTTTTTGTTGTTTTTGCATGTAGTTTTTTTTATATATAAAATATATTTGGTTTAATAAGATTAATATTTTATTTTGTGGTAAATTTTTGTTGTTTTTCCAGCATAAGAGTAACGCAAACGCAAAAACATGGATCGCAAAAGCAACGCAAAAGCAATGAAATGAAAAAGAAAAAATTTACATACAAATTAGCAAATCATATGTTAATAAAAAAGTAATTGTTATAAAATTTAATGCATAACACTTTAAATATAATAAAAGTAAAATAAAAATGCTTAAAAAACTTAAACTAAATAAAAAAAAAAATACATAAGTAATTCACCAATGGTTTATGCAAGTATCAACATTTTTAATATTTTTCGTAATTTTTGTTGATTGTTTTCAAATTTCATGAAATCTTGCTCTATTTTCTGTACGTAAAATTTTGCGCATATTTTTTGGTTCATTTTCATTTAAAACACTCTCATTTTAAATACATTTTTTTTAAGGGTTTCGACTCAATAAATTAAAAAGCGTTAAATTGCATTTAAATATATTTTTATATTAAAAATGCAAATTTTTATTATTAATATATTTTTTACATTTTAAGTGGTGCTAAAAAATTGTGCTTCTAAGCTATGAAACAATAAGTAGTGGGTTGAGTTGTTTGTTTTTTATTTCACACGCTTCTGCTTATGTGCTTTTTATGGTAGGGTGCTAAAAACACAGAACTTTTTTTATTCAAATATTATTTTTCATCACTTAAACATTCAGGATTTAGTAAAGAAATAAATTCGTATTTCAGAAACATGCAGCACGCAAAATAGAAGAGAGAGAGAGCAAAAGAGTTGGTGCATTTTTTAAGTAGATAAAGGAAATCAATAAAACAGTTTGTTTGTAAATTTGACAAAGCAAGGCATTTGAAAACTCAAAAGCAATAAAAAAATTTGGTGTTAACGGTTAACTTTTTATATGTAGCAAAAGATATAAAAATTAAGATTTTTTGACTTGTGAAATTTACTGTACAATAGTTGGATTTAAAGGATATTTTTTATGAAACAAAAATTTAATACTTTTTTTAAAATTATTTATTAAATTTGCTGTTCTTTTTTTGCATAAACCATTTTGGAGAGAGTGTGGGGTACACAATTTTGGGCGAAAAACTACAACTACAAACTTAAAGTTCACTTAAATTTTTAAGTATTTTTTTATTAAGATTGTGGTTTAGGATATGGGGTAAGAATTATTTGTATATTTTTAACACATATTAAATGAAGGAAAAACACTTAAAATTTATTTAAAAATACAATTTTACACTAAACACATGAAAAAATAAAATAATGTAAAAGTATTGAACATATATAAAAGGTATAGTACAGAGTTGCATTTTTTTATAAATTATAAATTTTTTTATAAAATATAATAACAATTTTTTAAGTGGCTATAACAGTAGCGCAAAGCGGAGCGGAATTGAGGATTTTTTTTTTCAAACTTAAATTCAAAAAAAGTGCTACGAGATTATCGAATATTTTATAAAAAGCTAAAATCATAAAATTAATTTTTCTTGTTAGTTACAAATAAATGAAAACTGCAATATTCTATCTGCTTCATATGTATATAATTTGATCTCTTCTAGAACGAAATATTAATTTTTAATCTTGTCATGAAGAGGAACAGTCATTCTTTTTAGAATCGTAGCCTTTATGAGATTGCACTTAGCTATCAGGTGATAAACCGAAAATTTAAATCTAAAACCTTGAGTGTTTTATTCGAAAGCTCAGAAAGCTTAAAGCTTAATGTTTATGAAGAAAGAAATGTCTCAAATTATTTTTCTTAATCTCTTCCTATGTTGAAATGCATATTTGCTGGATCGAATTGGAAATAAAGCAAATACTTATTTTACAAATATATAAACGGCGTTTATAACCTAAAACAAATATTGTATTGTATGGTATAAAGTAAGTCTGCAAATCAAAAATTTTGTTGAAAGAGCCTGAAATAACGTCAAAATGTTTATTTTTGTTAACAGCGTCAAATACTGGTATACATATTGAAGTTTGATCGCATTTGAAATCGCGAATATATATATAACTGCAAAAGCCTAAAATCGCAGCTTTCGCTCTGAAAACTCTTGCATATCGGCCCCAACTAAAAATCTTTAGTTACATATTCATCGTGTGGAAGATATTCACACTTATATGTTCTTATAAATGCAGAGGCTTAAAATCTCTATAAGCTCAGACAGCTTAAAAAAGCTTTTGTATATCGATTAAAACGAAAAAGCTTTTATCGAGCGGAAAATTTTCATACTAAAGTATTTTTATATTTGCAAAAGCTTTAGATCTCCATATGAGCTTTCGCTCGGAAAGCTTAAAAAAACGCTCTTCCATATTACAATAACTCCAAGCAAAACAGTTTTAGTCTTGGTGGTTGCGCTATGAAAGCTTAAACAAATTTTGCAAGCTTTGATATGGCGTATTATTAATATTTTTGATAGAATAAAGTCAAATTTTCTTGTAAGCGCAAAAATTTGTGCGAAACTTAGATGCATTTTTTACCAAAGATATGTTATTGTTACCAAAGTATCAAAGTTTTTTATACTAAACTTTGACAGCTCCATAAAAACTATTTAAACATCTAGATTGAATTATATGATTTTCGATTAATACGATTATCGCTTTGAACCACAGACTGCATTTCTGTAAGCTAAAAAGCTTCGATAGTTTTTCCCGCCGAATTAAAGGTAGCTTTAACTTTTTTTATCCCCAATTCCGCAAATTTGCACTACATAAGTACTACTATAAGCAAATAGAAATTACAAAAAATATCCGTAAGCTTAAAATATATAGCATAAATGACTTAATAATGTGTTAAACAAACTGTAAAACTTGCAGCGTCATCATTATCACAACAACTTTAACAAGCCATGCAACATTGAAAAAATGTAAAAGTTGGAAAAAATTTATGAAAATAATTGAACAAGCGGCTGACAGGCAAAAAAAGCAAATTGTATTTTTTAGCAAATTAAATTTTAAAATATGAAAAAAAGCTTTAATACTTTTGCGCACAGCTAATTAACTCAACAAATGCAAATAATGTATTAAAAAAATATAGCTGCAAGCAGTGAAAGAAGTCAATTTCCCAATAAAATGGGCATTGAACTTTGACCCTTACAAAATGCATATCAGCATATAGTACAAAAGCAACAAAAATGCAATATATAAATATAATTTCGGTAATTTATGGAAAATAACAATTAAATTAATTAATCCATAACTATGCGACCTATGAATTAATTGAAAAACAATTTTGCAAATGAAACAAAAGAGAAAAGTAAAAAAAAAACCATAATGCTTAACACACGTTGTTGAACTCAACGATTTTGGTTTCACCTGTACAAGGAAGCTTTTAAAATAACATATAAAAAGTAATAGCATTTGCAATAAAATAACAATGTTGTGAAAAAAATAATTTATTGAAAAATCAACTTTATTAATGGAGCTGCTGATGTAAAAATATTTTACTTAATTATGAAATGTGTTAACGAGACTTTTTAGCTTCCATTTTTGCCATTAAAGCTATGTCCACAGGATTAAAATTAGCGTGAAATTTTTAAAATTAATTTTCACGTAGAACTTCTACCACTACTTTAGAAAACCAAGGCAATTATGGATAATTTTTTGTATTAAGAGTTAATTGATATACAAGAAAATGTAAAAAATTATACTGCTCGCTTTTGTTTCAAAATTGGCTCGCCAAGACACTTAGAAATTGAGCTTTTGTGTTTGAAGGAATGAAGCTACATTTTGAAACCACGTTCTTGCTGGAATTGAACAACAATGCCTAGATTGAACTTAGAGCCTCACAGTTTACTAAGTAATATTTATTACTTCTACGAACCGAAAGGTAAAGCTTGATAATTTTACTTTCAATTTCAAGATTGTCTCTGTAGTAATTTTTAACGTGATTACAATTTTTGGGGTTTCAAACTAGCAATACAGACAATTTTAGCGTCTGATGGTATGCTAATTTTTTTTTTAACGAGAAAACTAAACGCGAATAAGAAACTGTTATAGAAGCAATGTCTTAAGAAGAGTATTGCTCTATAGCGATTTTTGCTTCTGATATAGTAAATCGTCGTGTAGTGCACTTTAGTAAATGAGTTGCTTATGCCCAAGAAAAGCTCTAATTTAGCTACGTACAAATATGGCAACTAATATTCATATTGACCTTTCTTGTCTATTAGGTATTCTAAGGTTTGGCAAATGAGTTACTTAAGTTTTTATTAACTAATATCAGAAATAACCCGTTAACGAGTGATTATAATAATATTATATGTTTATACTGCGCTTAAACGTTTGTATCAGGTATGGTAAATAATGTTGGTGGTATCTTTTTGCATTTTCTGAGAAAATTTACCATAGTTATGTATATATTTTTCATACCATCAGGAAGTAGAGACTTCAACAAACACAAAGTCTACTGACTTTTTAGCAATATTTGGTATTATGACGTGAGAGTTTTTGATTTTGGTTTGGTTTTTTCGATTTGAAGTCGAAGTAAGGCTAACTTCTTAATATTTTAAACAAAAACAAAAAAACAATGTGTTTGGGACATACGAAGATAAGTTAACACCAAATTTCGTGAATGAAATTTTTTTGTACAAGATAAAAATAAAAAACCCAAAAATTTATATGTTTGAATTTTTTACATAAAATTTGAGGTTATGTGAAAAAGGTGTAAATAAAAATAAATTTTTATTACCTACAACTTCGCCATATAACTTTTTTCTTATAGGAATAGCAGTTTTGCCGGAAATCGAGCAAAATCGTTTTTAGCCCTTAAAAATTCAACCAGCTACGCCCCTTCCTTATACCGACTTCAGACCGCCCGTAAATTATATTTTCCTTTTAATTTTTGTTATTTGATCTTTCGTTTCTAAGGGGTTTTAATCAACTACGAATTTCTTTAGCTTTTTACCATTTTCAAAGGCTTCTGCATCGGCCTAAAGTTATACAAGTGAGATCATAACGAAAAAAAAACTTCAAATTTATTTATATCTGATGTTTATATTAATGCTGCATACTTTTAAGGGATATTATAGCGACATACTGAACAATAGTATTGCAAATTACATTTTAATTTTACCGTATTTGTTTTAGCGCCTAAATATATATATCCAACAATTCTAGAGCAGCTTTAACTTAAAAAAATGAGTAATTAAATTAAGTACTGTGCAAACAAAGCGTTAAGCTAAAGAAACACAATTTTTCTCCAAAATAACAAGCTTTAAATAAAATGTTAAAAAATAAAAATAAAACGAAGCATACATCTAGGCTGATTATGAAGCAATCGAATTCACAATCATATTTTATTTCATTTTCGGGTTGCTAAGTAACGCATGCAACAAATTTATAAGCATACAAGTCAACATAATACTCATAAAATACATTTGCAAATACAAATATCAAAAAAAGTAAGAAAGAAAGGACACATTGAATTAAAAGAAAATATATATATAGCATAAGTGGGTGCGAGTGGGTGCTGCTTTTTGTGCTGGTGCAAGTGCTGGTGTTTTCAAATTTGCATTAAAATATTTTGCATATAAATTTGTGGTATATATAAATATTTATTAATTTTTTTGTTTTTGGTTTTTTGCATAATATAGTACATACGAAATTTGTTGCAAATTGTTGAGTGAAAATTAATTCTATATATTTTGTGCAACATTCTTGCATTTTTGCTTGTTGTCGTTGTTCAGCGCTTCGCTTTGTGCTCAATTTATAGACATGCATGCATTTTTATTTCATTTAAATAATTTTTGGAGACTTACTACAATTGCTTTTTGCTTAGCTTAAGTGTTGGTGCTGAAATAATTCACATGATTTTCACACAACCACACTCTCACACATACACAATTTGCTCACTGAAAACTGGATAAATTGAAAGTTAAATGAATTACAAATGAATTGTGAAAGAAAATGCTAAATAAATGTAATATTTGTGCTAAACTGTAAATACACGAAAATTATTTGAATTCGGTTTAGAAACTTTTGTTTGAATTGTTTTCATGTAATTTCCAATATAAGTATTTACGTGGGCGTGTGTATTGCATAGTTGTGAGTTTGTGATACTACGGTTATTCAGTGATTTTGAGTGTGCGTAGAATTGGAAAAATAAATTTAAAAAATTGCTGTGATTTGATTTGTATAACTAAGTTTTAATTTACTTAGGATTTTATTATTATTATTTATAATTAGAATTCTTTCAAATAGATGTAAAAGTTTTTTGTATAAGAGTATATAGAGTAAAAAATTATTATTTTATTCTCTGAATAGAATATATTAAGCTTGTAACTCCCAGAAAGAAACGTCGGAGATCCTACAAAGTGTAGTATATGTAAATGATCTTGCCGAACTGAGTGGATTTACCATATCCGTCTGTCACAAACTCTGTCTGTTAATACTCGATAAAGTCCCTGAGCTTTTGAGATATCGATTTGAAATTTTTTTAAACGTCATTTTCTTCCCAAGAAGCCGCTCATTTGTCGGAAACGCCGACTGCCATGCAAACTGAACGATCAAAATCAAGTTCTTGCATTGAAAATTTTTTTATGTGACAAAATATCTTCACGAAATTTGGCATGAATTAGTGCACAAGAACAAGTGGTACAATTTTCGAATAACTTTGTTGAGATCGGACCATTACAGCATACAAATTGACCAATCAAAATCAAGTTAAAGCTCTTTTTATACCCTTTTATGATATACAAAATGCACCTGGAAAAGCTATAATAGCTTCGGCGAGCCAAATTCAACATTTTTTCTTATTTTATTATTATTACTGATTTAGTTCAGTTAAATTTAAAAGTAAATCAAGAAAATCTATACCATTCTGATCAAAATTTAACCAGATTTAATTAGCTGGTTTTTAATACGGAAAAGTTTCTAAAAATCTGCAGCGGTCAACTATATCTAGAATACTATAAGCATATCTAGAGATTGTATGAAAGATTTGTCAGAAGATTAGTCCATCTGCCTCTTCCAACGACGAAAAACCTCAATCAAGAAATTGTGTTTAAACATAGTCTTGTTAGCATAAGACAAATGGGAGCGGTTGTCAGACTAGAAGTCGTGTTATTATCAAGGAGAAAGAAAATGTTATTTTTTATGTCGAATCAATAAATTTTTAGTTAAAGTTTTTGGCTTTTGACGTGAATGCCATATTTTTTGCCCCAACAACAACAGCATTAGAGAAATACGAAACCTTCTATTTTAGGTCAACTAAACACTATTTTATTTTAAGTTTTTGAAATCTGGCGTGGTCGTGAAATTTTGTTTGCAAAAAGATCGTCGAAAAAATGATAACGCAGCCACTTTGTTTGTAAGAATTGACTCTTTTAGATGTATTCCTTTTCCAAAAAATTAAATATGTGCTCAGAGAAACGCACCATGAACATGAAGACCATCAAAGGAGTTTCATTGACGGAACTAGGAGCCACCTCAGCAGCTGGGTTAATCAAGTTGATTGAATTATAAAAAAAAATCTTTACAAAATTGTAGTTGAAGTTGGCTACAATAAAAAAAAGCTCCTCTACTCGTAGCGGTTTATTCAAATGATTTACGACAGCTGCTACTAAGTTTTACCAGCATAAGATTTAAGTATATTACTATGTGTAAGTTAAAATTTCAAAGTTACCAAATTAATTATCAAAAGTGTAAGAAATTAATGCCGCTTATGTACGTATGTATGCATATGTATGTATATATGTTATAAGCAAAATGTTGTTATACTATATAATTATTAATGAATTTATATATTCATTTATGTAAGTATTAACATATGTTTAATAAATAAGTATATTTTGATATATAAAGTAGTTTTATGTTACATATACTCATTGATTCGGTATATAGTATGTATGTTTGTACAATATGTATGCCCGCATATGTTTATGTACATGGATGTTTCTAAACAAATAATGAAATATATAAGTGTATATAAAATAATTATATTATTACTATTTTATAAATAAATAATATCTAAAATTATGACAGACAATAACTTAAATAAAAATAAATAATTTAGTAAGATAAATATTTTTTAAAAATAGTTTACTTTTTTCTAAAATATTTTCTTTTTATATATGGTATAAATCAGTTAAAGAATAAGAGTATTGAAAATTTTAAAAAATTGAAAAAAATTTTATCGAAAAAATTATATATTTCTAACAAAAAACATAGTATTCAAATACGTACATGTATTTAAATAAAGTCCCGCATAATTTTCATATGTACATACACACACTCATAATCATTTTTTCAACACGCACAGTTTGCCACCAATTATTTGCTTTATATTACCTTCTTTTCCACGCAGGCTTTAGTACGCAACTCAAGTATTGTGGTTGTTGTTTTTAATAAATATTTATGCTTTTTTATTTTTAAATAAGGAAGGACATTCTAAGGATGGGTTTGGGTATTCAAACAATTTTTTTACACTACGGGAGCAACTTTGCATACTTTTAGGATGCCTCTGTTTCACTTAAGCTAGTATTTTCTAAAATGTGTGTATACATGTTTGATAACTCGATATTCGTGTAGCAGCACACATTTCTCAATTTCAAAAAATACGGCTACTCCAGCGCAATATCTCGTGTAAAAACACACATTTTATGCATATTTATATACGTATTAGTATATTGTTCTTAAATATTATTAGTTTGCGTAATTTATTGCATACTGATATATAAGGCGTATATTTTTTCTACTATTTCGGTTATTAGTTTATTTTCGTTTTTGTTGCCATATTGTAGCTGGGTGAAAAATGTGAAAAATCTACTTACCATATTGTTTCGTACGGACGGGTATTGGGGGTGTTGTTGCACCTTCGCCGCGCTGCGAACGCGCCGCCAACCATATATAATACAGGGTATCAGGATAGAGACCATCAAGCGTATAGGATTCAGTATTCGAAATGCGCCTTAAGTAGATAATGTGGAAAAGTTGAGTTAATTTTTTGGTATTTTATAAAAGTGAATATTTTCAGTTAAGGAAATTAAATATTATTAAATTTTTAGATTTAAATATATTCAAAAAGAGAAAATTCATAAATAGTTCTTCAACTGTAGGATATTAAGTATTAAAATGCCTTAAAGGAATTTTTGTATTTATCCATCCGAAGAGTAGGGAGTAAGTTACAATTTACTTTTTAAAATTTACCAAAAAATATAATAATAATTACAACATTTTTCATTTTAAAATTTCATGCCACGAAAACTTTCATATATGATTTCTTTGTTGATTGCTTATGTGTCATATAAAAAAAATAATTACCGCTTTTTTCATTTTTACACAATACAAAAAATTTGTAATAAAGAGAACTTTTGAAATTTTTAAAAAATATATTTCAAATACATTTCATATATTTTCAGTAAAAAAATCAATATTTGGAGAATTTTTTATTTTAATATGTAACTTGTAAAGTACTTTCAGATGTAATTTTTTTCAAGAAACTTTCGTATTATGTTTTTTTCACATATCGAACAGTTTCAGATTCTTAATTTCTACAAAATACAAAGAATTTTGAATTAAGGGATGTTTTTGGACTTTTTTTAAATGTACGGAAATTTTCAAATGAATTTCTTATATATCGGAATATTTTTCATCAATTTTCTATTTTATCTAAGAATAAAAATCTTTGATTGAAATACCTAAACTTTTGCCGAATACTTATACGTTGAAAATATAAATATTTTTTCGAAATTTTTTTGCGTTTTCAGGAAAATTTTATTAAACATTTTCTACTTGGAATATTTTTCAACATGCGTTTGAGTTTTTCGCAGAATACTTGTAGAAACTATTTAAGATGCCTAAATTTTTGTTCAAAACTAAAAGATTTAAACATAGGGAAATTCAAAATAGTTTGTAGCTAAGGAACATTTTATATGAAAAATTTTGGATTTATTTTTGATTACATTTTTTAACTTTTCTCAAAATAAAAAAAAAATTCCTTAAAGGACTTTGAAAGTCTTTTTGGTCTCAGTAATAATAGCTATAAATACGGGGGTTTTTAAAAAAAAAATGTATTTTAAAGCATATTTGATTTAACTTTTATTGTTTATCAAATATTTCAATATGTCTTTTAACTAAGCATAAAACCCTTATTTTGCAATGTCTTAATTTTCGTTTAGTACTAAAAACTTGAAATACCGGAAAATTTTTGAATTTTCTTGGTCAATTAAAGAGATTTTCACCTTGGATTGAGTTTGGTTAGTCTGAAGTTAACTTTAACTCACTGTTAATATTCTGAAATACGGGGATATTTTTCAAAACTTTATGGAACAAGTTTTCTTAAGTGTAGAAGACTTCTTAACACTTATTTATGAAAACTATAGATATGGATAGAGTTATGCACCGCGAAAAACTAAAACTTATTTGGAAATGTCTTAGTTTACGTTCAATATTAAAAAATTTAAATACGGGGAAACTTTTGATTTTTTTTTGTAATTTAAAGAAATTTTCAATTTAAATTGAATTATTTAGTTTGAAGTTAATTTGAACTTACAAGTAATACCTTGAAATACGGGGATATTTTTAAAAAACTTTACGAAATATTTTTTTTTATTGTAGCATACAGCCTAAGACATTTTGATACATGTTTGAATATAATAACTTATTTTGAAATGTCTTAATTTTCGTTCAATACTAAAAAATTTAAATACGGGGAAATTTTTTTTGCAAGATAAAAAATCTTCAACTTCAGTTGATTTTAGTTAGTTTGAAGTTAGTTTTAACTCACTGTTAATATTCTGAAATACGGGGATATTTTAAAAACTTTATATGAAATTTTTTTTTAATTCTAGGATAATTTTTAATAAATTTTGGTATATTTTTGAAAATAATAACATATTTTAATATTTATTAATTTTCGAAATTTTGAAATATGCAAAAATTTTTGTACTTTTTTGGAGCTTCCCCTAGCTGAAGCCTTTGAAGTATTTTTTTAATCTCAGGATATCCTTTGTCTATGGATCAAAAAATTTTCCTTGGTTCCGGAAATTCAGCGCCCTACACCACTTTAAGTACACTGGAATATTTTCGAAACTTTTTTGTAGCAACCTAGGTAATTGAATTACATCAATAACGCTTCCAGCCAACTTAGTTGCTAATACCAACTGATTTTATCAATAATGCGTACACATTTCAATTTATTGGCAAGATTTCAATCAACTATTACATTGCGCAAATATATGTACATACGCACACTACAAAATTTTGCGAATATTGGCAAATGGAAATCAATATGCACGTGCCAATTGACGATATGAATCAATATTTTGTTAGATAGTGTGCGGGTTGTAATTGAATGGGCGAAATATTAGTGCCAATATCCTGTCTGCATATATTTGTATGGGTAAGTGTGTATGTGTGTGTGTTTGTGTTATACTCACTTGTGATGATCCTGATTTGCATATGTGTCATTCCAGTATAATTCGTAGTGCACGATATTCTCACTGGAATGTGTCGGTTTCGACCATTGCAATGTGACTGCGGTCTCGCCGATATCGGTGGCCCGGAAATTACTAGGCTGTGAAGGGACACCTGTCACAACAAATTCATGCGTACGTATTTGTGTTGTTTTTTGTCGTCGTCGTCGTCGTTGTTGTTGTTGTTGTTGTTGTAGCATTGTTGATAGTGTTGGTTGTGATTATAAGTTTGTTGGTGGTATCACCATCAATGCCATCATCAGAGTTATCAAGATTATCAACATTGGCAACGTCATCATTGCCGGTTCGTTAGTTGATGGGTTGGATATCAGCGGTGCGTGTCGTCAATATTTATGCCAGTCAAACGGAAATTGCACAGACAGCCATGAAAAGGGAATCAAGCGCATGCGAGTGGGTATCGATGTGGGAGAAAAAGGAGTAGAAAAAATTATTGAATAAAATATTTTATAATTCCAGAAACTATTTACAAATATATATTAAAAATCATATATATGTATATACCGCTTGTTTAGTACTATAAGCACATATACTACAAGTATAAATAAACCACAACATATTTCCTGTTCGCATGACCGTAAAAATTCTGAATTTATATGCTGGGGAAATCATATATGCGTTTGTGCCTGAGTTGGAGCAAAGAGAATCTTTCAAAATAATCAAATGAAACAAATAGCAAATTTAATTGAATTCCCGTTAGTTGAGCGGAAATTTGATAAATCAAAGGATTTCCGCAAAGGATTTTGCGGCATTGGATTATATTTTCATTTTCGACGCTTCAATAACCAAACTATGAAAAAAAATTTGAAAATATACATAAAAGGTGTAAATATTATCAGCACCTGTGAGGTATATTTTTGTGATGACAAATAAATGTAAAATTATGGGAAATTCGGCAGTGTAAGCTGCCCAGCGAAATTTCAGAGATTATGAATTGTACGCTCAAAAATGTTCTTTTACCTATATATACATACATATATACACAGCAGGTGTGTGAATTATTGTAATGATGCATTTATTATTTTACAGAATTTAAATTCTCAGTTAATAACTATATTTTTTTTAACTCGACTAACAACTGACTGATAAATGTTCATTAGTTAATCAGCTCAATAACTTTAGACTCCACAATTTCATATTTCCGAACAATTTAAACGAATTTTTTATATGTTTCGAAAATTCCATTTTGTTCCTATACATATTTTTTTGATAAAATAAGTTTTAGAAGTTAAATGTTGATTAAAAAATAACACCATTCTTAATTATTTTAACAAATTGCTTTAAAGAGTTTATTTGTTTCGAAAATTCCATTTTGTTCCTACATTTTTTTTTGATAAAAATTTAATCTTATATCAACTAAACTAAAATCAACTTCTTTCCCTTTTAAAGAGCTACAAAAAGCAAAGTTCATAAAAACTCATATACATATGTATATAAATTTATTTCGCAAAATAAAGCTAAAGAACAAACAATATATACTCATTTCGAATTTTGATCCTGTGTCTAAGATATGGTTATGAAATAGGAATACCTATTCAAGCTTTTATAACACATTATTAAATGAAAAGAACAATAGAAGAATATAATTCCTATATAACTATACGTACATAATAACACAAACATGTGGCAATATAATATAATAAGGAGCATAATTATTTGTATACTACATAAACAATGTATTTCATTTCCAATGAAGTAATACAATTTTTGCAATATGATATTGTAAGTAGAAAAGCTTTGAAATGTACTTTTAGGTAGGTATATGTGTCCAATTAAAGATTGAAATAAAAATTCAATGACAGGAACGGTATGGAATATATGAAACATTTATTTTAAAGTTGGGTTTTGTTTACCGAAATGCATTATAGATAGATTTTAGATGGTGTTCCGAAAATTCCAATTTGTTCCATTGAAGAAAAAAAGTTTTGTGAGAAATAAAAATTATTATCTTCTGAAAATTCAAACTTTTCCACATTGGTATACAATATATACATTACCACTTATGGTAGGTAAGTATGTATGTATGTACATATGTATGCATGTAGTACATACTCACATAAGCAAATGTGAATGCGATTTTACTCGCTACCTAAAACCAAGCATTATTTCTGCTTTTATTTATTTCGTTGGTGAAACCAGTTATAAAAAAAATAATTTTTTCTATGAATTCTTTCTGTGAGTTGCAGCTTAAATTACATTTATTATTTCATTTCTTGTTTTAATACACGTAGAATGGACACAAAGCTGAATACAAGTTTTGTTCTAAAAATAATTCAAATATAAGCCAAAATTTATAAAACCAAAAATTGAGCGTATAACTTAATACCCTGAAAATTAATTTTACTGCGTACATATGATCCTGATGATTTTCTAGGTATATTATTGACTGTTGAAAGTTGACGAAAGGTTGCATGACAATTTTTAATATTTATACGTTGATAAGTACACAATATATTTTCCTGAATGTGTTTGAAAAGTGTTTGTGCGTTGAATGGCGTGTGATATTTAGTCATGCGTTAAATTAAATTCGTTAAAATATACACTCAAAGTCTCTCAAACCAATGTCAACTACAAATAATTTATAATTTGCTGCCTTCAACAGACTTAAATTTCATCACATTTCTGCCATTTTTTTTTACATATTTTACGCATTTATATTCGTATATATTCGTAAATGTATATGTAAACAGGAACACAAAAATTTATAAAAATCATGGTATTGCACCGTGAAAATATTGTAAAAAATTGGCACAGAATGAGCGCGCATTCTTGAGAGCGCGAAGAGAAATGTGGTTGCAACGTGATAGGGTGTCGCAAAGAGGCAGCGGAAATACATCATCATCAATGTCAGTGGCGGTGACAGCATTGCAGGCGGTAACAGTGCGATATTGCTTTATGCTAGTGGCAAAAGTGGCATATATAGCTGTGGGCTGTGGGAGCGCCTAAAATTGTGCTAGTAGTAGTTGGCAGCGTTTGAATTATTACCCAGCGGCTATAATTGTGTTCGTAGATATGCATTGATAATTCAGGTCATATCGGCGAGTGAAGTAAATTTTTTTTAAATTTCTTTTAAGTTTTTGTTTAATTGGTATATCATTTTTTTCAATAGTTGCCTTTTTTGCTTTTTTTTATTATTTCAATATTTATCAATGGTTTCCTAACATAAAATTAGTTTTAAAGAAATTATTATAAAGCAAATTTTTATGAGTGCATTGGTGTTTGATAAAATTTAAAATATTATTGTACATAGCAATAATTTCAATTCAGAAACAATCATCAACTAATTGTAACCTTTCAAGGATATTTTTATATAAAATTATAGCAAAATATTTCTACTAGATAATCGAATGCTTTGCGCAAAAAAATTTCTTAACATAGTTTAACTCACTGTTCTTACTAAAAAAATTATTTCCCTTAAGGGGAAATTTAAATTTATTTCTAAAATTATGCTATAATTATTACTACACTACAAACTATTAACATATTTTGCCCAATTCAATTATTACAAAATTTCCTTAAAGGGAAATTCAGATTTACTACTAAAATTATACTATAATTAATAATATATTTAAATATATATTTATATATTTGGTTTCAATTCAATTATCCAAAAATATTCCTTTAAGGGAAATTTATATCTAATACTAAAATTATAGCATAAATGTTGAAAACAAGATTTTTACAATTTGACGACCATTTTATCCTATTAGCGGACATTGAATAAAACTTCTAGGTATGTGTTATTTTTCGTGGAATTATAGTAAGCAAATGCACTCAAATATAATTTATCACCATAATCTAAGATTTTAAGATTTATTTAGGGAAATAACAATAAAGCGCTAAAATCGTTATAATGTTAAAAGTATATCCTTCAGGTGTAACATTTTGGAAAATATACTTATTATATTATTCTAAATTTTCTAAAAAGATAATATGGTATTTAAAACTGCGGAATTTGAAAAAAAAAGATTTTGCTACAATTGTTTCTTCATATTTTTCCAAACTCCTAATAAAGAAATTTTTGTATTATGAACAAAATTATTGCAATATAGAAAAATAGTAAATATTTGGGGAAATATTTATGCTTTTCAAATTCCTAGTTAAAATTTGGTTCAAAAATATTCAAAAAACGAGAAAAAATTTTTTTAAAGCTAAACTATACAAAATTTCAAATCTTTTTTGTAAACAAAGAAATTCTCCAAAAAATTTAAGAATTTTTCGGTAGCAAAAATGTTAGTTTTTCTTAGTCAGATTCACGTCAGTACCATTTATATTGCTAATCCTGCTTTTAAGGGAAATTTTGTTGCTCTTTAAATATCGATTCAATCTTTTTCATAAAGTTATGATAACTTAACGATATTTTTTTATTGTTGAAAGTGTTTATGTTGTTTTTCACGAGAGGAAATTTTTGTTACAAATGTATTTGTTTATATTTCCCTGAGACAAACCTCTTTACGTTCTGCAGCTCTTAAATTAACATAGTACTCGTAAAGTTCTTTCCATGCTACTGTTCAATTGCATTGCTTCTGTCAAATATTTTTTATAGCACCATTGAAATTTTACGAAAAATAATGATAATTAAAAAAATAAATTACGAAAGCAATGAAGAACGTAAATGCAATGCTGCAATGCATGAAATATTCTGCCCTTTTGTTGTGACAGTCAATGTATTTCTGTGGCTGTCAGTGATAAGTAAAAAAACCACTCATATTTTCTTACGTAATATGAAATAAAAAGCAAGCTGTCACTGTCAACTTACATAATTGCGAACAAGAGTGCACACTGAAGGCTGATAAGTTTGCACAAGGCACGGCAAAGAACGCACGCTGGATGACTGCGAAAAGACAGTGGAGCAGAGAAAAATATCACATGCTCCACGAACTATAATTGGGTTGTGGCAGAAGTCTAAGAAGTGGCGGAAAAAATATGGAAATTTAAGGAGGAATGCGCAATAAAATTAAAAACGTACAGAGGAAATTTTTACAAATCATTGCGAATGAGTGACAAGACAAATAATTAAAAAATATAAATCCGAAGAATGAGAATTGGTAATCGAAGCGGCAATGCTGCAAAAATTCCGACAATATACTATATACT